CCAGTCAAAAAGCTCAGAACTAGTTCGTCCAATACTGAAAAACTGGTGGAACAACAGGAAAGCAGCATTGCAAATAATGTTCTGAAGAACTGGCATGAATCAACTTAATACCAATGCCTTTACTTCCTCACTAATCATGCCCAAAAGGTTTTTATATCTAAATACTAACTTCATTTATTTCACATATATGTACTCCTGCAGTGTAATAACCGCAATACATAAAATACAATAGATATGCCCAACTATTTTTCCATGATGACACTGTCTAAAAGCACTGAGTATTTAGCTACCAAATATTTTCAAATCTTTAGCTGTGTAACTTTCAACTACTTATGCCATATCTAAAATAACCCCCAAAGAAAAATTATGCATTCATGATACAAAAACACATATAACCACATGGAATAATTAAAAACTGCAAGATTAAATGAAAAATGCAAAACTACTGCCAAAATAAAGATATCTGATGCAGTTAAAGCATTAAATAAATATTTAGAAACATTAAGATTTAGAATGGTCATTTCCAAAAACAAATAGTCCTTTAAAAAACTTACCATTTGTCTCTGTGTTGGTAAAGGTCTCCTCCTGTTGTTCAGTCTCCATTACCTTTTATTCTTAGGTGGGCAGATAAAACCTGTTGCAGAATAAAAAAAAGCTAGTACGTCTATTGTGAAAAAGCAAACTGTGCATTGTAGTAAAGGGAAAAAGCAAAAAGAAACATCTGCTTCTAGAACTTACCGGTATTATATATCCTTGCAGAGCAAGACTTAAGCGTTCTGGGTGGGATCAAAACCCAACAGCCTATTGCTTCAGGAGCCTATGAAAACAGCATACATCAGCTGTGGCTCTGTTTACTTACAGCTCAATTCTCACTACAGCAGAAAACCAGGATTTGTCCTGAGCTTTTGCTGCAAAGCTTTTCTTTATAAGAGAGAAAAATGTAACAAAGCCAAACACATCACTAAGAGAAATAGCAGTCAAGACTGCAAACTTACAGATAAAAAACTACAGTCTGAATTATTCTGGACTACTTAGTTTTCAGGCATTTGCTAGTTTCAAACATTCACATTTACTGAAAATGATTTTCAGATATTTAAAGCAAGCAGTTATCCAGTTCCTATTACAGCATGTTAAATAAAAAGGAAATCCAAAACATGTATTAAGAGGCACTGTTTCAATCTGCTCCTATTGCTTAGTTTTAAACAATTTAGACTAAGTCCAATTATGATAATCACCAGCATTAATTTTATAAATTCTGTATCAACTTACTAGCAGACATTTTAGCATGCCTCCGTTCAAGCATAACAGCTGAACAAAAGACAAGTTACACACAAGCCACCTGGAAAAATTCTGTTGAAAATACCAGTCTGGTTACATATAATCCTCTGCACACATGCACTAAGAACCTCAAAAGCAGCTGAACTTCTTTCTGATTTTGTGAAACAGGCATCTCATTCGTGATCTACTTTTTTAAAAAAAAAAAAAACACTCATACTCATAAATCACATTATAATTTCAGGCAGAACAAACACTGTTGCACATTATTCTCTTCAAACACACGTTTCTATAGACAGCATAGCCAAACAAAGAATGCTAGTCTTCCTCCCCCCCCCATTAATTTTATTGCCTTAAGTTCCTCGGCCTAAACAAATGGTGGACATTCGCTTGCAAATCCAAAAAGAAAAAATGAGGTACATTTAACTTGTTAATATCCTGTGAACCAACTGTTAATTAACAGTTGCTCTGTTTGTGCAGGCTAACAGCAAGCACTGCCGATAGGCATGCACTCTCCTACAGGCAGCTGCTGCTGCTGTGTGACTGCCTTCCCAGCACACGCTGGTATTTCCGGGCACCCAATGTGAGCTAACAGACATGCACTGCTTTAAGTGTAGCCAAGTCTCATACAGACATTGCCAAAACGCTATTATTGG